TGTTGCTTTTTGATGGTTTTCCCTCCACGTGCCAGAGGAGCTCCATCCATCCATCCTTGCGAGTGGTCCCAAGGAGCCATCCCAGAGCCTTGCAAGGAATTGGATCCTTCTCGATGGGAATCAGTCCAATAAGGAGAGAAACCTCTGTAGGGACCCCAAAGGACTGGGGGCTGCTGGTTGTCAGGTCAGTGGTGGGGGCAGTTGGTTGCTTCTTCTGCTCTTAATGGAAACCCAGGCAAGCTCCAATTGCCCTCGGTCAGAGGACAGAAAGGACACAAAGTGGTGAAGCCTGAACGCCAGCGCTGTGGGTGGAGGAGGTCAGGAGGGTTTCCACCACGTGGTTTCATTGTGTTGCACTTTCATTTTGTATAAAATGGAGAAAAAAAAAGAAAAAAAAAAGAAGGAAAAAAAAAAAAAATTTAAAAAAAAAAAAAAGAGGTAATTAATCACAGTGTTGCCCCCTGTTTAGCTTTGGAAAGCCTCCCTGCCTATAGGCTCAGCACTTAAAGGGAAGGGGGACGTTTGGAAGTAGGGAAACCACATTGTCCTCTGTAACAGGTTGCAATTAAACATGGGCAAAAAAAAACCAAACAGACAAAAAAAACCAACCCACCATTATCATAAATCACAGGAACCGAAGAGCTCTCAAATACTTTTTTTTTTTTAATTTTTTTGGCTCTCACAATATTGTCGACTTAGTGTTGGAATTGCCCGTGGATCAGGAGCTGTCTGTCGGTGCTGGAACTCTGTTGTGGTGATGGAGGAAAGTCGTTAAGCGAATTAACAGCACTGCAGTGAGTCCCAACACTGCCCTAAGGCTGCTCAGCCATCCCTGCTCTGGGAGGAGCTGTCTGAATTCTCAGCCTTGGCCAGGAAGATGCGGGGTGCGCTGCTGAAAGGGGAGAAAAGGCTGAGTTTGAGGGGTGAAGTGCCATTCACGGCACAGAGGAACCCCCAGATGGACACGGCCTCCTCCTCACTGTGCTTTTTTAAAGGCATTTTGGAGTTCCCCCTAATCGAAGCTCTGAATTTCAGGCTTGGTCTGAAAACGACAGATTTTTCATCAAAACAGGCTGAGGCTATAAAGTTAGAAGGGAAAAGGGAAAACCCCTCCATCTGTTACCACAAACGAGACCTGATGAGGGTCAGGTGGCTTTATTTTGATCCCTCTGCTTGGATCAGTGGCAGATTTTGTGGATCTTCCCCATTGTGCTTGGGTAGAAATACCCAGTGGCGCCGTCACGGCGTGAGGAGGTGAACCTTGTTGTGGTGAGCCCATCTTGGGACTTGGGCCGACCCTGGGGGGCTTGGGAAGCCCTCTGGGGAGATATTCGATCCCCTTTCGGGGTGGTTTCCCCAGTGGAATTTGTTTGGGAAGGAGCAGGTTGGGAAGTCAACCCATGATGGGGTAGAGCGCGGTGCGAGTGCAGGACCAAGGGGTGAGTAGGCAATGGTTGTGCTGTGAGCAGCTCCATCCAGTTCCCATCCTGGGACAGAGTTCTCCAACCCCAACTCGTCTCGTTTCATGATAGCAAGGCGGGCTTTTGGAGCGTGGGGTGATGGATTTGGGGTGGAATAGGATTTCCATTGCTAAACCTTGACCTCTTGGCACCTTTAGGACCATCTGGGAGGGACGGAGTTGTGGGATTGTAGAGTGGGTTGAAGCTGGGGTCAACTCTTTGGGTAAGGTTTGCTCCTGGAGGCGCTGCCTCTTTCTCTGTTGACGTTCCTCATGGTGAGATAAAGGAACCCAGCAGGACTCTGTCACTCTGCTGTCCTGACTGTTGGGGTGACAAAGCTGCCTGGGTTGACACCACTGGGGACAGCCAAGCATCACACGCTGCAGTTGGGTTGGTGATGGTGAAGGTTGGTGAGCAGGAAGAAAAGGGATTTCCCTCACTGGGGGGGACAGGGCTACGCTCTATGCCAGAGCAAGGTTAGGATGTCCCAGGGGGTGATGGAGGCCAAGCAAAACTCCAGGAAGAGGAGGGGGAAAGTGTTAAGAAAATTGTTATCAAACCACAGCTGTGGCCGTTGCCCCATCCCACCTCCGACTTCTGCACCACAACGCACTGCAATGCAGGACTCAAAGCCTGTGCTGCCCCAGCCCCACGCAAAGCCCGGAGCCCCCGGCTCTGATGGGCAGCAGCAACCCCATAAAGCTTCTTTGCAGCTTGGGTGTGTAATTGAAGCACTTTTTACCGTGTTACGTAAAGTTGTTTTGTTTTGTTTTGTTTTTTTCCCCTTGGTTTGGTGACAAATGTTTGCTATTCTTGAGGAGCGTGGTGGGCAAAAAGTGGTCCCCAGTGGGGCCGGGGAGTGAGGGCATACTGAGAAACTCCTCCCATATGGGGGTTTGCGTTCAGTGCTCAAATCCAACCAGCCAAAGACAGCAATAAGAGCCGTTGTGTCCTCGTGAGTCCGCTTCTCAGTTTTATTTGGTCAAACCATCAATATTTTCAGTCCAAGTGAGGGCTGCGGTTCCTTCTGCCTCTGTCACCCTGATGTCCTCCCCATGGCTTTAACCCGTGGCAGTTTGCTTTTCATCTCTTTCTTTTCCCTTTGGCTGTTGGCTCCCCATGGCCCCGACGCGCTGTTGCTCTGCTATAGGGAAATATAGGGCAGAAAGACTGGAAGGAAGGGAGGAAGGAGAGCTGTGGCAAGGCATCACCATTTGGCACTTACAGAGTCACCAGCAATCAGGTGATAACGGATTTTTTTGAGTGTCTGGAAAACAGGAATAGCAAAAGATGTCATCTGATGGCAGCTTTCCCCAACTGGATGCGATGAGTTTGTAGGAAAATGCCCAACGCGACGCCTCAGCATTGCATCCTTGGGATGGAGCTGCAAGGCTGCAGCCATTGGGAGACGTAGCGAGGAAGGGGAACAAGGGCACGAAGGGGCACCCCAAAACTGCCCCCCCAAAACCACAGAGCCTCTTCGTGCCCTAGCACCAAGCAGAGCAAACCCCCATCCATCTTTCTGTCTCATTTCTTGGCCCGTTCTGACCGACGGGACAGCTCGGATCAGCTCGTTTTTAAACAGCATTGGAACTCTTTAAGCAAAAATATATATACATATTAAAAAAAATACATAAATACAAGAAAAAAAAAAGAAAAAAAAAGTAAAAAAAAAAAAAAGTAAACACGTCTTCCAAGTCTCCACGGTGTGTAGGGAACATGGCCTCGAACTGACACGTTGGGAAGCCCCGCAGCCGCGGCTTGTGACTATGAAGTGTAAATCTGGGTTTTCTCATTTGTTTTCCGTTCCGTTTTCCGTTCTGAAGATCAGCTCTTGATCTCCCTGACAGATTTCAGCCAAGAGTTTGTAACTGTACGATATTTACTGTAAGATGTAGAACATTCGATAACTATTAAAATGTTTCCAGAAAAAAAAAAAAAAAAAGGAAGAGGGTCGGTGGGTTGTTTTGGTTTTGGTTTTGGTTTTGTCTTTTTTTGAGTTGCGAAGCGATGGGGTTCCACCTCCAAACCTGCCCCCAGGTGGTTGGTGGGGCTGGAAGGAGCCCAACCCATGGGTTTTCCCATGTCCCAACATGGCCATCTGCCCCCAGGTGGTTGGTGGGCCTTGAGGGACTTCAAAGCATGGGTTGTTCCATGTCACAGCATGGCCACCTGCCCCCAGATGATTGGTGGGGCTGGAAGGAGCCCAACCCCTGGGTTGCTCCATGTCCCGATGTGGCCAACTGCCCTCAGGTGGTTGGTGGGCCATGAGGAACCCCAATCCATAGGTTATCCAATGTCCCAACATGGCCATCTGCCCCCAGGTGGTTGGCAGGCCTTAAGGGACACCCCAATACGGGGGTCGTCCCATATCCCAACGTGGCCAACTGCCAGCAGGTGGTTGGCAGGCCTTAAGGGACCCCAACACGTGGGTTGTCCCATATCCCAATGTGGCCAACTGCCACCAGGTGGTTAATGAGCCTTGAGGGACCCCAACCCATAGGTTATCCCATGTCCCAACATGGCCATCTGCCCCCAGGTGGTTGGTGGGCCTTGAGGGACTTCAAAGCATGGGTTGTTCCATGTCACAGCAGGGCCACCTGCCCCCAGATGATTGGTGGGGCTGGAAGGAGCCCAACCCTTGGGTTGTCCCATATCCCAACGTGGCCAACTGCCCTCAGGTGGTTGGTGGGCCATGAGGAACCCCAATCCATAGGTTATCCAATGTCCCAACATGGCCATCTGCCCCCAGGTGGTTGGCAGGCCTTAAGGGACCCCAACATGTGGGTTGTCCCATATCCCAACCTGGCCAGCTGCCCCCGGGTGGTTAAATGAGCCTTGAGGGACCCCAATCCATAGGTTATCCAATGTCCCAACATGGCCATCTGCCCCCAGGTGGTTGGCAGGCCTTAAGGGACCCCAACACGTGGGATGTCCCATATCCCAACGTGGCCAACTGCCCCTGGGTGGTTAAATGAGCCTTGAGGGGCCCCAACCCACGAGTTGACCCATGCCCCAATAGGTCCAGCATGGTCCTGTAGCCTTGAGATAGGGTTAGGGACATGCCTACGTGAAGAATGATGGGGGAGCTCCATGGTGATGCTCCCCAAGCATTTAATCTCCATCCCCGCAGCCCAGCAGATGAAGAAGGTGTCCATCAAGCACTGCCTTTGTCCCCAACCTCAGCACCATGAGGCACAGAGCTGGGTGCTGCTGTGTGTGGGGCCAGCAGAGCCTTGGGCACGATGTGGGATCAGCTCCCATGTGGTCCCACACATCCTTCTGAGGCCACCACTGCTGTCCTGCTGCTTTGCTCAGCCCCACAGGATCCTTTGGGTGTCACTGTCCCCACAAGGCCACCTCTGGGTCAAGTGACGTCTGTAAAGGACAAGGGACCATCTTCATCTCCAGCTGAGGATAGATTGTGGCCTATGGACCACGGGGGCACTTGAGGTGGCAGTGCCACAGCCTGGGCCATCAGTGATTGCTGTCACCATGCCATGGAGGAGGACATCCCATATACCTCATGCAGCTGCTGCTCTAGAAACCCCACAATGATGATGAGGCCCCTTTTTGGGGGTGGTCAGGGTGTCCCCAAATGGGCAGAGCCCCCTCCCATGCCCAGGTGTCCCCACTGGGGGTGGAGGAAGAAAGAGGGGAGAGAATAAAAGCACCAAACCCCCATCTTCTTTGCCCAAAACAGAGCTCGTTTATTAACGACAACCTCTCCAGCAACAGAGCCAGGAGGCTTCAAATAATAATAATTAAAAAAAATTAAGGAAATACAACAGAAACAGCGTCAAAGGGCTGGGAAAATCCAAGAGGGGTAATAAATATGGGGAAGGGGCAATGGAGCACCAGGGGAGGGGGGGGGGGTTGGGTGAGGGAGCTGGTGCCAAGCTGCTGCCAGCAGTGATGCTGGGGACAGGGAGGGGTCACCGCTCCCCCTGTCCCATGCGTTAGTGACTTCATTTCCAGAAATTAACCCCAAATGATTAAAAAAAACCCAAAACCCATTAAGAATCCATCGCCTGACCGCCATGAAGGGCCCAACGTGCAGAGCCCTGGTCATCCTGGTGCCACCATAGTGGGGACATCGATCAGGGGGACAGCCCTTCCTTGTCACAGGGACATTTCGGCTGCCATCGCCCCACGTGGTGCCCGGGGGTCGCATGGTGCAGTGTCTGAGCCCCTCACCCTGCATCAGGGCTGGCCTCTGGTGGTGTCACATGGCGAGAGTGCTGTCCCCAAACCGGGCTGCGGAGGGGCTGCCCTGGGAGCAAAAGGGGATGTGATCATAAGGATGTGACGTCCATCTCCCTGCCGTTTGGCCCCCATTGCCTCTGCCATCCCATAAATACCCCTTTTTGGTCACTCACATCTGATTCTTTATTTTATTTTATTTTTTTTTCCGATAAATATTGAAGTTCTCACTGTGCTGGAGAGTCCCAGAGCAGCCGGAAGGGGCCTGGGGACGAAGGGCTGTCCCCACACCCTCAATTGCAGAGCATTCACCGTCAGTGCCCTCATTAGGCTTCAGAGTTAACACTTCCCAATCCCAACACAGCATCGCACTGATTTCTCCAGGAAAGATCCCAAAAAGGTGACCACTCCCAGGCCCCCACTGACCACCGTGACCCCAACCCCAGGGTTGTCCCCAACCCACATCCTGTCCCCCAATCCCTCACCTCAGGGCGGCTGTCAGTGCTTTTCAGCCACGACGGCCTCGTGCTGGTGGGGAGAGGATCACCTCCAACACCAGGCTTCTGCTCGGGGATCCGGGACACCCGAAATCTGCATGGGGGCATTCTGTGAGCCCACCCCACCTTGGGATATGGGCTGGACAAATGGGACCCTCCCCCCCCCCCCCCAGCTCCACGTGCTCACCTTCCTATGGAGAGAATGGTGATCTCACCGGTGGGTCTGGTGGCTTTGGTGGCTGTGGGGGATGGCAGCACTTGGGGCCACTTCCTCTGGCTGCATCGGGTGCAGGGGGGGTCTGAAGGGGGAGCCGGGCCATGCACTGTGTGCAGGTGCTGCTGGTGGCAGCAGGAGGGGGGAAACTGAGGCAGGAGGTGCAGCCTATGGGGGACAAGGAGTGACATGAGCCGTGTGGGGGTTCAGTGGGGCTGGAGGGACTCAGAGGGGTTTTGGGGGGAAGTCTCTCACTTGTAGGCAGGTTTGCAACCCGCTGGTGCTGGCTGCATGCTCTGATGTTCCTTCAGCAGCTCCTCCAGCGCTGCAGCATTTTCTGGAGGTGGGGGGACAGAGAGAGTCACCAGGAGCCACCTGGGGTGGCAGAACCTTCCCTGGCCATTGGGGGGCCCCTTCCCCCTTCCCGGGGGGCTCCCGACCTTTCTTCTCTGTGATGAGGCGCACCAGGACCCCGATGGTGTCCTCATTGGCATCCTCAATCTGGTAGATGGAGCTGGGACCTGGGGACAGATGGAGAAGGCATGAAGAGAAACGGCCACGGGGATGGGCTTGATGTTCTATGGCCAATGGGACAATGTGGGAGCAAGCAGATGCCATGGGGATGAGCAGGATGCTCCAACCCTAGGGACAAGATAAGAGCAACCAGACACCCTTCGGGATGGGCCCCATGCTCTCCATGGGTTCCCATGGTCACCGTGGCCACAGGACACCGTGGTGACCAGATGACATGGGGATGCTCCAACCATTGGGACAAGATGTGAGCAACCAGATGCCATGGGGATGGGCTCGAGCAGATCAAGTTGGCTTCAGGGCGGCGAAGCTGGGTCACACCTCACACCAACCTCAAGCCAACGTCATCACTGGGCCACATTCTAATCCCTTTATGGTCCCAAACCACTTGGGTTCAACGGCAACCAGAGGCAACCCCAGAATACTGGGTGCATGAGAGCGGGGCTCACCGCTGGTGTTGTGCTCGTGTTCCTTGTGTGCGGTGCAGTGGTAGCCCTTCTTCTTCAGCACGTTGCACACCAGGATGCCCAGCAACCCCATGGCACAGAACACGGGGACGATGGCCAACACGGCCGACTGCGCCGCCGCCACCTCCTCCGGTTGAAGCTCCCATGTCCCATTGGTCCCCGATGGTCCCCGAGGTGTCACCACGCTCCTGGCTCGCCGTTGGCCTGCAGTCAGGGTTGGATTTGGGAAAATTCCCCCCATTGATGCCATGAGCACTAATCCTGCTTCAAATCCATCACTGGGTTATTTTGGCACTTGAATCTTCCTGAGCTGGATTTGGCAGAGTTCTCCCATTGATGCCATGGGCATTGCTCCTATCCCACCCCAAATCCATCACTGGGTTATTTTGGCACCGAATCCTCCTCCTGTGATGGACTTGGCAGATTTTCCCCACTGGTGCCATGAGCATTGATCCTATGCTCACTCCATCATTTCAGTATTTTGGCACCACGTTCCCTCAGGCTGGATTTGGGGGATTTACCCCATCGGTGCCATCACAGCTCCTATCCCCACATCCATCACCATGTCATTTTGGCATCATATTCTCCTCCCAGGATGGATTTGCTGATGTCCCCCCCATTGGTGCCACGAACCCCAGTCCCACGCTCACTCCTTTACCGCGTTATTTCAGTACCACATTTCCCCCATGCTGGATTTTGGGGTTCCACCATTGGTGCCACAAGCACAACTCCTACCCCAAATCCATCACCGCATTATTTTGGCACTGAATCTTCCTGAGCTGGATTTGGCAGAGTTCTCCAGTTGGCACCATAAACGTTGAACCTATTCCACCCCAAATCCATCACCCCCACGCTCCAAAGCCCGCAGCTGACCGCGCCACCCCTCACCCACCTGTGCACCCCGGGGTGCCGTGGGGCGCAGCAGAGCAGGGCAGGCACCGGCCCTGGGGCTCCCTATGGCCATCAGGGCTGTAAAACCTGTGGGATACGGTGAGATGAGCACAGGGGTATCCATGCAAACCCCCCCACCTCCTCAGTGCACGGCACCCCATGCTCACCCGTGCAAGCAGGCGCACGGTGCATCCCCTGCAGAGGTAGAGCCAGGGGGACAGGGGCGGCAGCTCTGTGCTGTGCTGCACGTCTACAGGGAGGGAAAGAGGGTGGTGAAGGGGTGCAGGCTGCATGGCACGGGGTGGGGGCATCACCCACGGGCAACACTCACCCCAATGGGTTCCTCTCCAGGCGGGCATCGCAGCAGCTCGCAGGCTGTGGTCCCCATGCAGGGGCTGCTCAACACCTGGGGGAGAAGAGGGGTGTTCAGCGGGGTGCAGCAGGGGAGAATGCATTGCAAAGGAGAGGATGCAAAGGCATTGTGAGGGACAGGGCAGGTGCAATCCCGTTGCGTGCATCGTGGTGGGCGCAATGCTGTCACAAGCAACGGGATGGAAGCAAAGCTTGCTGCGTGTGCTGCTGGGAATGGGATGGAAGCAAGGCTTTATGGTGGGTGCAATCCCATCACAAGCAGTGCAAGGCTGCAAAAGCACTGCATGCGTCACAGTGTGGGTGCAGATGCACAATGCAACGGGATGGATGCAGTGGGATGGATGCTCCACGGTGGGTGCAAACTTGCAAGCAATGGGGTGGGTGCAAATAGGTCCCAGGCAACGGGACGGATGCAAAACCACTGCATGCTCAACGGCAGGTGCAAATGCACCACAAGCAATGGGACAACTGAAATGGGGTGGATGTAAACTCATTGCATGCACTACGGTAGGTGCAGGCTGATCACGAGCAATGGGACGGGTGCAAACCCCCACCGCGTGCAGCATGGTGAGTGCAAACCTGTGGCAAGGAATGGGGGGGCTGCAAAGCCCTTCCGTGCACTGCAGCTGATGCAAACCTGTCAGCAGCAAGAGGATGGCTGCAAGACCACCGCATGCACTGCAGCAGATGCACAACACCCCAGTTCTGCAGCAGCCCAGCAGATGCACAGCCATTGGAATCAACATTGGAACTGGGGCCATGTGGGGTGGAGGACAGTGGCAATGCCAGGATAGGAAACCCCCACGGGACACCCCCAGAGTAAAATGGGACATCTGGGGAGCATTTGGGGTTTTAGAATTGGAAGAACCAAGATGAGACGTGCAGAGGGATGGGATGAGGCTCTACTCACCCCCAGGACAGCGAGGAGCCACCAGCACATCCCCAAGCTCTGCAGCCACCGGGGCACCTGTGGGGACACGGCACAAGGAAACAGTGTCACTCCTCCCTGATTCCTGCACAGGGGACAGCAAGGGCTTTTGGGTCTGGGGCCCAAAAAGCCCACACAGGGGGACTTGGGAGGTTATCCACTAGCACAGCCTTTGCAAGGGAGCAGTCAGCTGGAAAATAACGCTGTGAGAGGGGAGGAATTGGGTTATTTCACAGCTGGAATGCTCTCCCCTGGCCCCATTTGCTGCAGCGCAGCCAAGCAGCACAGTTGGGTTTGGGATTGCTTCCCAAGCCTTGAGGTTTTCCTTCTAAAAGGAGCAAAGCACCTTCACAACTAGAAAAAAAAGCATCATTATAATAGAACAAAACAACCTCGTGACCAAAAAGCCCCAATATTTTGCATCTTTACCCCAATATGTGGCACCCTTGTGCCTGAAAAAAACCCAACACCTTCAGGACCAAAACCTCCAATATTTTGCATCCTTACCCCAACATTTGCCATCCTTACAATAGACCAAAACACCCTTGCAACCAAAAAACCCCCAATATCTTACAGGAGCCCCTTTGGGTGCAGCGGAATCACAGCCCACAGCAACTCAGCGCCCAAAGGAAACCCAATTTTAGCTCAGTAGGAATCCAGCACTCACACCTCCCATTTTAGGGCCGCTCACGCAATCCCACTCCCTTCCTGCAGAGGATTTGCTAAATCTGATGGCAGCTGAACACCAATTTCTCTCCCAGTGCCATCGGCTCCAATGTCCCCAGCGCCATCAGTGCAGCTCAGCACAGTCCCTCCCATCTCCTTGCGTTTAATCGAAGGCAAATCATTAAAAGCTGATTGGAAGTTCCCCCAGGAATGGGGTGAAATCCTTGGCGAGGGCCCCCGTGTGCCTCATCAGGGTTGGCAAAAGAAAACAGAACGGTGGAAAATCCCAACATCTAAATCAATATTGCTGGGCTATCGTTGGGATGGCGTGTGCACGCATAGGGGCAAAACCCCAAACCTCTGAGTTCTTCTACCTCCAGTGCTGCAAAGGAGAGAATTATCTGGGGGCCCAAATCTCCCTCCATATCCCAGAATGCTTGGTTTTGCTTTGGGCAATGCTGTTATATCAGACAACGCTCATCCAATGCTCTCAGGACCCCATTACTACACCCAAAATCCTATTAAAGGCCTTTGAGTGCAGCTCTGCCCTTCTCTACACGTCCCAAAATCTGTTTGGACCGGAGGCACCGAAGCTCTGCGGGGGAAGGAACAGATGCTGCAAACCTTCAGCACGGATATTTCCTGCTCCGGAGCAAAATGACCGGCATCCTCCCCTGCACAGCACTGCCCAGCCCCAGAGCGTCACTGCAAAGAGAAATTAATGCATACACACACAATTAAAAATATATTTCCAAGCAAGCAAAAAATAATAATAATAATAATTAGTCACCTCAACCCAAAGAGCCTTTCAGCCAACCTCGACCCAGTGAGCAGATTCTGCCAACACCGACCCGACCAGTGGATCCCCTCTGCTGACACCAGTGATGGATCCTTTCCACCAACCTCGACCCCATGAGAGGATCCTCTGGGCCAATGAAACGATGCGTCCTCTCTGCTGACACTGACCCAATGATGGATCCTTCCTGCCAACCCAATGATGGATCCTTGCTGCCAACCCCGACCCAACAAGCGGCCCTTTCCACCAACCCCAACTCGACAACAGGCTCCTTTTGATGATGCCAACCCAAGTGGGTCCTCCCTGAGATGCCAACAAGGGATCCTTTCCACCAAGCCCAACACAACAAGAGGGCCCAACCCATCGCCCCAACGCTGGGTCCTCTCCACCAGTGCTAACCCGATGAGCAGATCCACTTCTTCTACCCAATGATGGATCCTTTCTGCCACCCTGATCCAACAAGCGGCCCTTTCCACCAACTCCAACCCAATGGTGGCTTCTCTTTGGTGATGCCAATTCAGCGAGCAGGTTCTTCTCTCTGATGATGTCAAACCAACCACCTGGTCCTCTACAACAATGCCAACAGGGGATCCTTTCCACCAACCCCGACACCACAAGAGGGCCCAACCCATCGACCCAACGCTGGGTCCTCTCCACCAGTGCCAACCCGATGAGCAGATCCAGTTCTTCTACCCAATGATGGATCCTTTCTGCCAACCCCAACACAACAGTGGCTTCTCTTTGACAACACCAACTCGACAAGTGGGTTCTCCCTGATGGTGTCAACCCAAAGAGCGGATCCTCTCTGACAACACCAATGATGGATCCTTTCCACCAACCCCAACACAATGAGAGGGTCCATTCCATCGACCCAACGCTGGGTCCTCTCCACCAATGCCAGCCCAATGTGCAGATCCTTTTCACCAACCCAACGATGGTTCTCTCTGATGATGCTGACCCAGTGACGGGTCCTTCGACTGAATAAACCCAAACACCAAAGCCTTTTTGGGCTGGGTGGCCCCCCGTAGCAACCCACTGCTAAAATGAACCAACAGCTTCACCACCCTGCAGGCACAACTCATGCGCTGTGTGTGCTTGGGGACGGGTGGAAAAATAATTAAAGTCGATTCTGTCATGAAGTGGGAAATCCCTTGAATGCCCCTGGGTGTAGTGGGGCATCCCCATAAAGCTGCCCCACGTGACGCTGCTGATAAGGAGCCATTATGTGCTGGAGTGGTTTATAAATTGAATGAATGAGCAATTAGCATGCAGCATCACTCATCTGGGATGCAGCTGCTGCACGATGGGGGTGGCTACAGGCTGGTGTCAGGATGTGAGGGCACCAAGCTGTGTCCCAGTTCCTCCCAGTCACCATGGGGGCAGAAAGGAGGCTCGAGGGCAGCTCAAAGCTTGGAGACGGCAGCACACAGTCCCAGACTGACCTCAAACCTCAAATACCACAGACAGCCACAATTTGGGAAGGGAGAGGAAAAGCCAGGGACAGGAGCAGGCAGCAGCACGTGGTGCTGCAATGCAGATCCCCGTGCTGAGCACCCTCCGGTGACCCCTCACTGGTGCCACGTGTCCCAGCACCGGCAACAGCCTCGTGTGGGGCTGTTAAATCCTCCCTGGGGAGAGGTGTTTGGGGCTGTGTGGTGATGCTTATGGGATGGGGAGCGCTCATCCTGAGGTATTTGGGGTGCTATGAGGGGATCTGTGCACCCGCAGGGGATGGGATGGAGGGGATGAGGGGCACAATGGTGGGTGGGATAGGGGCAGGTCTGAGCATCAGCACTTATGAGTGATTGCCTCCTTCCCCCCTCAGCCCTGCCTGCTGGGATCTGGGGAGCATCCAGCTGGCCCCGTGCACCTCATGCTGTCGTTCCAAAGCCAACAGACACAAAGAAGCTTGGAGAGTTCTGGCACTGGGGATATATTTGGAGGAGCTCTGAAAACTCCGGGAGCAGGACTGGCCCCAAAGGACCTCAGCCCCACTTCACAGAACCACAGAACCCCAGGGGTTGGAAGGGACCCCCAGAGATCATCGAGTCCAACCCTCCTGTCAAAGCAGGTTCCCTACACCAGGCTTCGTACGGGGATGATGGGATGCCCCAAGTAGAAACCAATTATCCAGCCTCACAATTGGCTGCTTGGTGGGGGACAACCCAACTTTTGCAAGCCCCAGGATAGGATTTTTTTGTACCCCAAAATGAATCAAGCCCTTAAGGGCCCCCTCCCTTAACCCAGCCCACAAGCTAAGCGTGCCCGCAGGGATTCAAGGCAGGGTTTCCCCTTCACACACAGCTTAGGGTTTCAGCTGATTGCTCCCAGAGATAACAGAGAACAAGGAGTGACTGTATAGGGACACTTTGGGAACAGCAGCTTGGCCACCTGGGCAGCACAAGGAGGGATTGTCCAGCTGAAACCCAACGCTGTCACAACTCTGCCACCAAAATCCAACAGCACTGGGGCTGTGGGAACAAATAACAACCCTTCATTGACTTCCAGAACAGAGCCAAGTGATCCCAGAGGCACCGTAGTGCCAATCCCCAGTTTGGGAAGCCACCCCCGCTCACAGCATCCCAGCAGTAGAGGGAACAGGGCTGAAAACGCTGCGATTTTCCACCGTCAGATTAAAGCAAGAGTGGAAAAGAAACAAACCCCAGCTCCTATTTTTCCAGATGGCCGCTGTGGAGTTTTCCATAACCTACTTTCTCCACTCCTCTTCTGCCCTATATCCTCACCGCGGCTGCAGCCGGGGGGTCGCATCTCCAGCTGCTGCCTCACACAGCGACACTTTGGGGACAAAGCTGAAGCAACAAATCCCCCCCCC